GCCAGGTGCAGGGTCTGCTGGCTGGGTGCTGGCAGGCTTGCAACTGGCACAAGCACCGTAGCCAGACCGTGCCCCTTTAAGGGCTCCGGGGCCAGGAGGGGGGCAGAAGAGTTTCCCTGGCTGCTAGCCTCCAACTGGTTCGAATTAAGTGGCTACACAGCCCTTAATTTGAACTACTTAATTTGAACTAGGTGTTACTCTTCGTAGAATTGAGGTTTACCTAGTTCGAATTAAGCACTCCGCTAGTTCGATTTAAATTCGAACTAGCGGTTTCTATGTGTAGCCCCTATTAAAGTTAATTCGAACTAACAGCTGTTAGTTCGAATTAACTTTGTAGTGTAGACATACCCTCAGTTACTAAATATGTTACTTGGACTTTTTTAATCACGGACAGGCAATATGGCATGCAAGCCCAATCCGGCCCACCACAGCGCTCAGGGTTGGCAATGTCCTGTAGCCCAGAAGGATCCGAGCAGATTTCAGTAGAAAAATGGAAATTGACATATTGTTATGTACTGGCACTTGCCACTTGGTGCTCCAATCTTAGGTGATGTCTGCACTACAGAGTTTTTTTGGAAAAATGGCTGTTTTTCCGAAAACTTGCGAAGCGTTCACACCTCGAGTGCTTTTGTGCAAAAAAAAAAATCGAAAGAACAGAGGGGTTTTTCTGGCGTAGGTATTCCTCATTTTACAAGGAAGAACATCTTTTTGCGAAAGAGCTCTAGGTCCACACTGCAGCTCTATTTCGGGATACTGGAGGTATCCTGAAATAACAGCAAGCCAGTTATTTCAAAATATAATAGGCTCACTATTCCGACACCCCTGTAAACTTCATTCCACAAGGAGTAAGGGACATTTCAGAACAGCAGGTTATTTCATAATTTGGCACTGTGAAATAAGCTATTTTGAAGTTGACTCGAAATAAGCTACGCAATTTGTGTAGCTCAAATTGTGTAGCTTATTTCGAGCTATGGGTGCAGTGTAGATGCACCCTGAGAGAATTCTCCTAGAAGCTTAGCTACCACTTCTTGGGGAAGTGGACTACCTTGGTGATAAGAGAAGACCCTCCTATTGGCATAGGTAATGGCTACAGTGGCGCAGTTGCAGCATTTCAAGTGTAGATGAGCCCCTAAACTGTATTTCAAGGGACAGTCTGCCACCTTATGTATGCAGAGTAGTACCTTTATGAACATCTGCTTTGAAATCCATCTGTCTGCACAATAATGTACTTCTCAGAATGAGTAAGAATGAGAAATCTGGGTTGAGGGCAATAGCAAAATGTATACTTATAGCTAGGACAATTAAGGGATGGAATTATCTACCTAAGGAAGTACAGGCAGTCCCCGAGTTACGTGGATCCGACTTATGTCGGATCCGCACTTACAAACGGGGCCCTCTCCCTGGTCTCCAGCAGACCAGGGAGAGGAAGCAAAGCGGCGGAACACGTGGGCAGCAGGCAGCCCAGACGCGTCTGGGCTGTCCGCCGCCCGCGTGCTCCGCGGCTTTGCTCTGCTTTGCTCCCTATCCCCCTGCCAGGTCTGCAGGCCTGCCCGGGGCTTCCTGGAATCAGCCGCTGATCAGTTTCAGCAGCGGCTGGATCTGGACGCCAGTTCCGACTTACATACAGATTCAACTTAAGAACAAACCTACAGTCCCTATCTTGTACATAACCCGGGGACTGCCTGTAGTTGAGAAGCCCTTGTTAGAAAAGTTTAAGAGGAAATTAGATTAGACACTTCGAGGACTAGCATAGCGGAGAATCACGCTGCCTGCATGGGGTTAGATTTGATTACCCACTATGTCTCTTTCATCCTTATTATCTATGACTAAGGTTTACATGTGCATATGCTCTCCCTCTGCACTTCTCTTGCTATACTGTACTTGTAATCTCTTAACAGAAGACCGCAGGAAAGACTAGCAGTAAATGTGAATCACTACCATACACGAACAGTGAGATTCTTTTTCACTGAAAAGTTGTCTGGTAAATGTGGTCTTTGCACCAGCTGTGGTGCTGACTTTGTTTTTTAAAGTGGTGTAACTCTGAAGGCAATGGACAATGGTGATTTACACCAGCTGAGGATATGGCCCGCATAATTCTGGGAGTTACTCCAGAGGTGTAACTGAGAGCAGAGTACGGCCAGAAGCTTTAAAACATTACAGGACTGAAATCTTGTTCATGTTAAGGAATAGACATAATTGTAACACTGCATGATATTTGTGAATCTTGTTAACCTGGACAGTTCTATATAGAATATGTCCTGTTAGGTGACTTTGGGCAAGTAACTGTCGTATCTGTGCCTCCATTTCTGTCTCCCGCCTCCCCCTCAGTAAAATGGGGAAAGGGAAAACTATTCTGATCTCCTTTGCCCAGCTCTTTGAGCGCTACTAATGAAAAACACTGTATAAGAGCTACTAATAGAGATGTAGCCGTGTAAGTCTGGTCTTGCTGAAACAAAAGACAGGACTATGCAGCACTTTCAAGACTAACAAGATGGTTTATTAGGTGATGAGCTTTCGTGGGCCAGACCCACTTCCTCAGATCAAATTGTGGAAGAGCTAGGTATTCTATTAGGCTTGTTCAAGGTCTCTCTTATGGTTCTCTGTTCTTTTATAATCTCACTTGACTTTACTCAGACCACTTACATCCACTTGGAAATGATGAATGAAAATGTTGTTGCCTATCAGTCAGTAAATAAGTTAGCGGCATTAACTGTTTTGTGTGTGTTTAAAATCTTTGAGGCTTGTAATGTATTTGAGTCATGCTATGAACATAAACGAAGTGCCCTGCAGCATGACACTTTTTTCCCCCCTGGGGTTCATATAGTTGAACTTAGCTGAATTATTCATCACACCATTAAAATTCCTATAGTACTGAAGACTCCTATTTAATGCATTAAATTATATAAACAAAGAAATTACACTACATGGGGTTTTTTCCATGTGTTTCTATATTGCTTTCTCTCAGATACTTCTCATCAATTTTTAGACCACCAGAAAACTTTCAAAAAAGTTTGTTTTCTTTATTTTGTCTGACTTGTGAGATGGAAAAGATCAGAAATACAGGATTCAAGAGACTCCTCATGAACTAGCATATTTATTTTTAACTATAAAATGCCTAGAACTTGTCTGAACTTTGTTTACTAAATTCACTTTAAATAAAATAAAAGTTATGTGGTATTGCACCACCCTTGGTCTGGCTCGGATGGCTGCAGTTTCAGGTTCTATAGACTGAAAGCCACCTCTGTGGCTTATTTTAGATTTAGAGCCTCTAGAAAAACACACAGACCAAAAAGAGAGACCCCGTATGCAGTTCAAAGTAAAACAGACTAAGGTCATGATTACCCCATGCGTATAGAAATCTAGTTCTACTCACATCCTTAATGATAATTTTTGAAGTCTGATGGATGCCTTGCCCAGTGAGTCATTTAGTAGAGGAATGGTTCCTGCTGTAATTTTCCCATAGGGCATGTTTACACAGCAGGGCTAAATTCAAAATAGCTTATTTCGACTTTTGGCGCTGTCTACGCAGCAGTTATTTCTAGATAGAGCTCTCTTCCCCTGACTTCCCTTACTCCTAGTAAGATGCGTGTTGAATTGGAGTAAAAGGTCCTCCAACTAGACATTATTTTGACATTATGTCAAAATAACTGCTTGCCATGTACATGCAGACTACGTTATTTGGGAATAATGTTAGTTATTCTGAAATAACACTGCTACGTAGACATCATCTTCCAGTTAAAGATCCCATGGTGTGTTACAATCAGTTAAACATAACACCCTTGTGAGGTAAGTATCCTCATTTGACAGATGAGTAAATTGAAGCAAAGAAAGATTAAGTTCCAGATCCTCAAGGTGTTTAGGCACGTCCGTGGAAATCAGCGGAAAATGCCTAAATACCTTGGGACCCAACTCACTTGCCAATCAGTAAGTCGGTAGGAGAACCAGAGAAAGAACCCATTGGCCTCTGATCTTATGCTCGGACTATTAGACAAAACCTCTGTTCTCCAAAATATCCATAGTTAAAATATGTATAGTTTTGAAAAATGTTTTCTCTTATGCTTTGTACTTTATATGTAGATGTTAACCCTCAGTAGTCTGGCTACACCAGTGGTTTAAAATTATCCTTGCTAGAGCATTTTTCAAGTATAGCAGAGTTAAAACCTAAGTTTTGTGAAAGTTTCTTGTCTGTGATAATACTGAACAGTCACAGATGCAGCAAATGAGTGTTGGTATTGTCTGTTCCAATTTATTTTCCACATTTCACCTACACCCTTCCTCTGTCTGTTTTTTCCCTCCCCCAGGTTATGGTCACACAGTGCCTTTGTCGGATGGAGGAAAGGCCTTCTGTATTATATACTCAGTCATCGGAATCCCCTTTACACTGCTTTTCCTGACAGCTGTGGTGCAGCGCATCATAGTCTACGTCACCAGACGGCCTATACTGTATTTTCACATTCGCTGGGGCTTCTCCAAGCAGATTGTCGCCATCATCCATGCAGTGATTCTTGGGTTTGTTACCGTCTCATGCTTTTTCTTTATCCCAGCAGCAGTATTTTCTGTTGTGGAAGATGACTGGAACTTTTTGGAATCTTTTTATTTTTGTTTCATTTCCCTGAGCACCATTGGTCTTGGAGACTATGTTCCAGGAGAAGGTTACAACCAAAAATTCAGAGAGCTGTATAAGATAGGAATTACATGTAAGTACCAAACTAACTTATGCAAGGCGTTTAGCCAACAGGATTTCTGTGCCTTGGGTGCCTCTTTCTTTTCTGCCCCTCAGTTAAGCTCTGGAATGGTCAGGTTGGTTGGCCACCCCCATCGTCATGAGGGGGGTATGATTATGTGTGTCCCTCTCCCCATGAAAACCTTAAAGGTAAGATCAATAAAAAGACTCCAGCTACTTGGTATTTCTTTTGAACAGTTGCTCAGACAACTTGATATTAAAGTGAATGTTTGTACTACATAGTTCTGATTGCCATTGAAGTCCCTGGAGTAGGAATCATTTTACCATATTCATAGGAAAATATGGTCACCCTAATTGGAGACAGGAGTCAGTATCTAGGGAATGAGAAATGATGATAGGGTGGGGGCAAGTCATGAAGGGCCTTGAGTGTGAAAACAAGCAACTTATGCTTGATGCCATAGAGAAGGGGGAGCCAGTGGAGGGAATGCAAAGAGCAGGGTGACACGATCAAAGCAATGGCCTAGGACAGCGGTTGGCAGCCTATAGCACGCGTGCCAAAAGCAGCACATCAGCTGATTTTTCTGTGGCACGTGGGCCAGGAGCTCAGCCCTGCCTCCCCCCCAACCGCAATGCAGTGGGGAGAACGTGCTTTGGCTTGAGCCTCAGCTGCAGGCCAGAGCCCCAACTCCGGCTTCCTGCTTGGAGGGAGGGGACAGGAGAGACCCATGCGTGCATCCCTGGGGCTGCCCCTGCCCAGCCTGGGCATGCAGCTTCCAAGAGCTAAGGGGTTTACACACACAGAGACACTACAGGTTCTGCCTCCTGCTTTGGGGTGGGCAGGGCTGGGCCTGCTCCACAGATCAGGGCTGGGCAGCCGGTCACACATGGGCTCCGCTCCCCAGGAGGTGGGGGGGGGGGCAGTGACCCTCCTCCCCAACACCCCAGTGTGCCCAGAGCCACAGCCTGCTGGTGAAGAGCGAGCCCTGGGCAAAGGGCTGGGCCAGACAGGGAAATGACTCTGCCCTCCTCTCCTGGCCCCTCTTCACCCCAGTGCTGCTGCCCGGCTGGTGAGTGCGCTGAGGGGAACACGGCTGTGGGAGTAGGAATGGGGTGAAGGAGGATATCGGGAGAGGTTGGGAGGGAGCAGGGGCTGCACTGCAGGGGGCTAGGACGATGCGAGGGGATGGGGAGGGGATCGTGGGGCTGAGGGGAGCGAGGCTGGAGCAGAGGGAAGATTGGGCGGGGGGATACAGATTTACTTAGCAGAAGCTGCACTTTCCTTTACTCTCCACTTTTTTGCCTTCCTTTCCCCAGCCCCCCACCTATCACAGCATGATCCTCTTTGCACCTTATCAGTGTGTGTGAATGGGAATGGCCTGTTTGCACTAGGGATGTTAAATTTAGATTCATTAGCTAATCGAATAGTCAATGCCATTTGCATCGACAATTCGAATAGTCGAGAAGGGCAGCTCCGCCTTTGAAGTGTTGTAACAGTTCCACGGCTGTTGCTACACTTCAAAGGCGAAAGCGCTGCAGGGAATTGTGCTCCCCATGGCGTTTCACTGCTGCAGCGCTGCACGGAGCCCGGGGTCCCCAGCTGACCTCAGGCTCCGAGCGGCACCACCGATTTGAAAGGCCGTGGGGAGCCTGGCACCAGGCTCCATGCAGCATTTCAAAGTGGCAGTGCTGCATGGAGTCCGGGGTCAGTGGGGGAGTTCCCCGCTGAGCCCGGTCTCCATGTGGCGTTTCTGCTTTTAAATGCCACGTGCAGCCTGGGGCCAACTGGACTTCTGATAGAGGAGAGGAAGCAACTAGCCTGTCGACTATCCAATAAGCATTTGCTTATCAGGTAGCTGACTTGTCATTCACACGCCTAGTTTCCACAATAATCAACTAGCCACAAGGGTTTTGATGTGCAGCTGTTTGGCTGCATTCTCACCCTCTCACCTTTTCTGTGTTACTTCCCCCAACTCCCTCTTGCACCCCACCTCCCACCCAGATCCTGCACCTCCATCCCTGTCCCACTCACTGGCAGCCCTGCCCTGTACACTGAACCCCTCATTTTTGTCCCCACCTCAGAGCCTAAAGAGGTCCCCAAAATCCACTAACCCTGGAACCCCAGAAAAGTAAATCTGGCCTGTGGGAAGCCCTGAATCTGTCATTCCTGTCCCTTCCCCTCACCCTGTGGGGCTGGAGTGCCAGACGAGGTGTTTCAGTTGGGGGCCACATCATTGAGGGTTGGGGGTTTTTGGAGAGTGTTTTTGCTTTTCACTTGTGTAGTCCCCAACTGATTTTTTTTTTCCTGTGGTTCAAATCCAAAAAATGTTCCCCTGCCCTGCCATAAGTAAAACATTGCTGCCACTCAGAGGTTGATTAATGAAGTCAATGGGAGAGCTCTGTCCTGTCAGCTTGTAGTGGCTACATTGGAGAGCTTACAATGGTGCAGCTGCAATCTCACTAGGATAGCCATAGCCTTAGTAAATGACATGCTGAGAGTCCAAATACAATGTTAGTCTTTCCAAGAAGCACTGGGAGCACCAAGATTTTTCCCTTTTAAATCATGTGGAAATTCAAATTGGTTGAGAAGCCCAGAATGAATTATCTAGCTCCTACTGCAGACTTACAGATAACCTTGCCATTTTTTGTGGCCTATGTAAATAGAACGGTGTCTTAATGCATAACTCACTCTATTTCATGGACTACAGCTTTAAAATGCTACATAAATTGGAAATACAGAGCTGCGTTAAATCAACTAGGGTATATCTACACTACCCCGCTAGTTCGAACTAGCAGGGTAATGTATGCATACCAAACTTGCTAATGAAGCCCAGGATTTGAATTTCCCGGGCTTCATTAGCATAAAGCCGGCGCCGCCATTTTTAAAAGCCGGCTAGTGCGAACCCCGTGCCCGCGGCAGGGGCTAGATAGTTCGAACTAGCTAGCCATTCCGAACTATCTGTACACCTCGTGGAACGAGGGTTAGTGGAACGAGGGTACAGATAGTTCGGAATGGCTAGCTAGTTCGAACTATCTGTACACCTCGTTCCACTAACCTTGGAACTATCTGTACCCTCGTTCCACTAACCCTCGTTCCACGAGGTGTACAGATAGTTCGGAATGGCTAACTAGTTCAAACTATCTAGCCCGTGCCGCGTGTAGCCGCGCGGCACGGGGTTCGCACTAGCCGGCTTTTAAAAATGGCGGGAAAACAATGCAAGTCATGATCTCCACTATAGGGGTATGTCTACACTACCCCGCTAGTTCGAACTAGCGGGGTAGTGTAGACATACCCCTATAGTGGAGATCATGACTTGCATTGTTTTCTAGAGGAAGAAATGTGTGGGCTGTATTACTTTCATAAAGTCTCAATTCTGCATAAAGTGGAGTTATATATAATTTCAACTCCATTATAAGTAGTTTAGTCCCTGTAAGTGCAGTACAGTAATTAATGCAGCCCTTTATATTTGGAGAGTATTCTTTGTAACCAGTATATAATGCACAGATGCAAAGAGACTGTGCTATTTATAATGAAGCTAATTCCTGCTTCCCTTACTAACAAAAGACTCCACACAGAAGCTGTCCTGCTCATTAATATGGGCACGTGCAATAGTATTCTGAATTATAAATAGTGGTAGTCGAGTTCTTTAGAATAAAAAATCATTGTTGCACTTCCTTCCCTGGAGTCCTGTTCAGGATTTTGGGTATATCTGAATTTGGAGAGGAAAATAAAGAACATGATGCATTGTTAGTCCTAGAAGGCCTGATTTTTTGCAAGTACCTGGGAACTGGTCCATCACAGAACCTTGGAGCGTGATAGGAGTCTCTTCACAAAAAACAAAATCTCAAATATGTACAATATGCAACAAAAGTCAGTGGTGGTGTTTATGTAATAACTAGACAATTAGCCCGTCATAAGATAGAATTTTCAGGTCTCTCCTCCACGCCGGTCTTCTCTCCTGAGCCTCCGGTCTCTCGCTCCATCTCTCTCTCCCCCCCTCCTCCTACTGCCTCCCCCCCTCTCTTTCAGCTCTCCTCTGCCTCCTGCCTTTCTCTCCATCTCTTTCTTTCTCTTCTCCTCCCCCTCCTTCCAAATGGCAGAAGTCAGCTGAGCGCCACAGCAGGAGGAGAAGGGGGGCGGGGCGGTGATGTGCGGCGTGACAGCAGCTCCAGGCCCCGCCCCCTGGCCGTGAACATCACCGCCCCGCCCCCCTTTCCCTCCCGCCGTGGCGCTCGGCTGACTTCTGCACCGCTCAGCTGGGCCGCCGTGGGGGAGCAAGTGGAGCAAGCGGCCATTTGTGCCCCGCGCTCTCCATGTAGCACGGCCTGCCCAGAGGGAACAGCCAGCATTTCAGGCAACAGCGCCTCCCAGAGGGAACAGCCAGCATTTCAGCGTTACAGACTCTCAGACATTGGGCTACTATATATATGATGCCAGTAGGATTTTGCCTAGGAAGTGTAAAATTAGTGTAATGTATATAATATGTAGTCACCTTCATCATTTTTACTATGTAATTCTTGTGGTGGAGAGGGAGACGGGGAAGAAATATGTCTGTTTTCAAGCCAGCAATGATTGTACACATTTATATGAACTTTTAGACTTTTTTCTTTGACTGTTTTGCATACATTTCCAGGCTTTTGCACTGGTTTTATGCTACAGAGTTTCTTCATACACGTTTAAAAAATTTCTTCTGGCCTCAAAAATTCTGTCTGGGAACAGAAAGGAGGGGGGAAATTGTTCATGGATTATAGGTGGGAAAAATGATGATTTAGAGCTTTATCAGCTTTACCTGTTAATGCTTCAGGCACTGGTATTTTGATTTTCTTTGTGCATGCTCATGAGATTCTTTCACCAACAGCAGCTAGTTCAAGTCAAAGATATTACCTTACCTGCCCCCCCCCCTCTCTGTTTCTTGGGCAGGTTACCTGTTGCTGGGCCTCATTGCCATGTTGGTGGTTCTAGAAACTTTCTGTGAACTGCATGAGCTCAAAAAGTTCAGAAAAATGTTTTATGTGAAGAAAGACAAGGAAGAGGACCAAGTGCATATAATGGAACATGACCAGCTTTCCTTCTCTTCAATTTCAGACCACGCAGCTTCCATGAAGGAGGATCAAAAAGCAAATGAGCCTTTTGTGACAGTTCAGCCTGCCACTTACTATGATGGCTGTATAAACAATTAATACAAGGGCATCCATACCAATATTATAGTGCACTTACATCATTAAGTAAGACATAGAATGCCTCTTTATTTCTTTGTGTAAAAAACATGTACAGAAGAAGATTGTGCTTCTTTAATAAGTATTCATCATTTCAGAGGTTAAGAAGACTTCTGACGTGAATTAAAGTTGCTAAAATGGAGCTACACTGGGAGAATGAGAGGGTATGTAGCCACCCATGGAAGTACTGTGCCTGAAGAGATCAGGAGGAAGCAATGGTGTGAAGGGAGGGCAGGCATGCACTGGTAACTCCCTGCAACATCCTTGGGATGGGAGTAATCTGCTCTCCTGCAGGGTAGCCCTACTCCGGCTGGTAGTACGTTTATGCACATGCCTGGTCAGTTACCTGCCCTATCAGCAGTGTGCACTGAAACAGAGGTAGCCAGCTTCTCCAACATGCTTACCCTAACAGTTGTTCTAATTTCCTCTTTTTCAAGCTAAACAGCCTCCTAGTTTAGGCCCAGTCTTTCCCCCTTGTTCAGTCTTAGATGTTTCCAGCAGGCACCTAGCTGGTGAGTGGGGAGGGGGGGGTGTCTCCTGGCATCTGGCCACTCCCTCTATTGTTTGGTTTTTCTCCCTTTATAACCCTCTTACAAAGAATTCCAACCTTGTGCATTAAGTTCCAATTTTTCTCACCTTGAGCGGAAATGGGTTACAGCATCACATGGCCTGGCCCCATGTCTTTGTAGGACCAGCCACACATTTGTGCTTAAAGGAAAAACAAAACTATTCACAAGTTGTTAAATTAATCACCGAGCCATTAAGTTCCTAAAGTATCATTAATGGCTTTTACTAGAACAGCTGGACTAATAAAACTGGTTCCCACTTAATATTTTGAACTTCACATACAAGAAAGATACATGAACAAAAATAGAATATACACATTCAGGGGATCATAGCCTTTTGAATGATAGGTTATGGGCCTGTTTTGCATAAACTGTCTTCAGGTTTTGCATACTTATAAGCCAGTTTTCATAAAGCATGGGTCCGTGACAGTAGGAATCGCTGAATGAAATTCAACAACCTATGTTATGCAAGCAGTCAGACTAAATGATCATAGTGGTCTCTATTGGCCTTAAAGTTTGCAAAATGGGAGTTTCACAACTGACTTCTACGGACATAAGATCTAGATCCTGTAGCACAAGTAGGCATATTAAGATTTCCTCCCACATAAGAGCAGTGCTAGGAAAGCCCTCTCCACTGCATTGCATGCATGCTAGATTGGGCATAACTTGGCCTTTAGTGTTCAGAGATTCATATCTTACTGTAATAGAACAGCAACATTAAAGTGTCTAGATTTAGCTGACATGAGACGTATACTTGACCTTAATTACCTGAAAGATGCCATCTGTGAGTTCAGTTCTAGCTAGTATTAGACAGATTTTATACCTTTTTGGAAAAACTTTGCTTTATGGTTAAGTCTATATGACTAAAACTTACATTTAAGAAACAGAGCTAAGGACTTTTTGGTGGCGTAGCTAAACTGAAACCTACTGTGTTTGCATGATCTCAACAAAGTGGCTATTTTTGTACAGCCCTAAGTTAAAGTTCCTATTTATAATGAACATTTAACTAGTATATGTGTACATATATATAAATATATTTCTATATTGTACATATATTGTACCCACCACAGTGTAACTGACTTGGGAATGACATTTTAGGGAAACTTTCCCTCCCCCAGATTGCTCTTTATAAAAGGAATGACTCAACACTAAAGATGTTGACTTTAAGATGTAAGGGTAGTGTACAAGGAACACTTCTACTGTTTTCCAGTAAAGATTTTGAAGTTGATTGTCTTCAGTACTAGAAAACACATGATTTTCTGTCTATTTTAATGTATTACTAAGCTGTAAAGAACATGACAGTCACTGAAACTAAGTGGAATTCAATATATGCACAAATTGCAAAGTACAGACACTTGATAAAGCACAGAATTCAAAACAGAAGAAAAGCTGAACATTCTACTGTGGTATATATGAATATACAATATTTTAAATTAACAAAGTTAAATAAAAAGTGTGTGGCTTCTGGCTGCCTATACTTCACTGTGCTCAATGTTTTCTTTAAAACTTAGATACTGTACATAGATGACATTGGGAAAAAATGCTCTCCTAAAGCTAGATTGTGCCAGCCTTACCCTGGTGAACATTTACTCAACTTCAGTGGGACTGTTCATTTTGAATATGCTTTGCCAATATGAGTAATGAATGTACAATCTAGTCCTATGCTGATTATTCCTATAGAATAACATTTAATATTTGAAATAAAAATAAACATTTAGAATAACAGCAAATAAAGGACAGTAATGACATTTATTTTAGTGTCTCAATAACTGGTCTGCTAATTGGGGTTAATGCAAAACTGATCATTTCCGAGTATCATTAGTGGCTGTAGAATTAAGTTCTAATTCCTACAAGTGTCAAATAGTCATGTGAAACCAAAACTCAAATAATGCATGAGGCTAACATGGCTAAGATGGGCTCTAGATTAGAAAAACAGCAAAAGGATCCTTTGAATCAAGGCTTGTATAAATTGTAAATGTGTTCCTGAAGCTAATCAGAAGTCAGGCTGGCAGGTATAAATTGACATAAAGAGCAAGGGTCTGCAAGCATAAATGAATGACCTGTAGAAGTATAGATAGAAGTCTCAAGAGAAGGGGTTGCAAGAAGCAAATACTTTATTCTCTAGAGAAGAAAATAAGGTCCCCTGGCTGTAGTCTTGCACCTACTGTAGACTTTCCCCTGACTTCCGTGTGCACATGCCTGTGCCTTGCTTATAATTTGAAAGCCTTACTTATGTGCAGAAAAAAACATTCATCTTCCTGTTTGTCTCTAGGAGCACTATTGTCAGGCTAGTCTGCTCTGCTGCCACTTTTGTTAGGAGAAGTCTTAAGCAAAGCCATTTGTGTTAGTGAGCCTTAAATGTCCCAGGACTATGGTTCTTCCTGATCTCTAGTGTAGGGGAGTCCCACAGCCAGACTCATTCTTCTGCAATCCTTCTGTCTCATCCCCAAAGAACTCACTGGAGATTCTGGGGCAGATTGTGTGCTGAGTACAGTTGTTGCAGAAAGAGAGAAGCAGGTTCTGGGGCTGTTAAATTATAACCCATTAAAAGTATAAAGATTAGAACTGGGACCTTAACAGGTATCTAGCTAGACATTAACACCAGAGCCATTGCTACAGTCTCTGATAGGGCTAGAGACCAGTGCACCAGTGTGATGTGCTTTTGTCTGTGTCCCATGTGAGAAATCGGCTGCTGCACACAGAATTACATGGATGCACCACTCTTTCAAAGTTAATCCTAGGTACAATGCTTGCTGTAACAGCCAATGTATGCCAAAGGCACAGATTACTAGGTGGAAGTCCCAAATGAGAGGTCCCCTGGCCAGCTGGAGAGGAGGAAAAGGACTTAGTCACTGTTATTACCTAGCTGTTGGAACAGTCTGTATACCACTTTCACTGAACTGAAATCTCACTCCTCCATATGATTAACAATACCCATATTTGAATAATGAAGGCTTTGTTATAAAGTCATCAATTGAAATGTTAGGTGCCCGGTCCCTAAATGCAACACCCAAATTTTGGCCCCACTGAACTCAACAATAAAACTCACTGACTTCTCTAGGATGAAAATTTGACCCTAAATTCCAGATTCTGCTCTGTGTTAAATCTGAAGTAACTCAAATAATGATAATGGCATTATTTCAAAGCAACACTGTTCTAAAAAGAGTTTGGTTCTCACTCCATGTAAACTTAGACTAGTCATGGTTACTATCATAATATGCTTTTACATAAGATGCTACTAAACAAAAACAGTGTGTAGCTTCAATTTACAATTTCCATCAAATTTGTTTCACTTGGAAATAGTGATTTCTAATTGCAGTAGGTTCACCTTGACTTGGTCTGTAAACTCACATGCTATCTAATGCAAATTCCAGTTGTTGATGTCAGAGTGCTTTTTATCCTTTGGGTCTTCTTTTACTAGGGAAGATTTCTTGGTCCAATTATACTGAAATAACATGTTTCTGCTGATGATTAGTTCCATTGAACAATGTGATTTTAGTCCTCATGATCCATACGGCACACATCTAACCAACAAAGAGAGACTATTGTGTACCATAGAGGTTTTGGTTAAATGACAGACTGAATAAGAGAGGCAGAGTAAGGATTGTAATATGGAAAAGCTGACAATCATCCAATGAATGGCACAATGTGAAGGCTTATTATGATGGCGAGCATAAATCAGAAGGATAATGAATGTCATGGTGACATGCTGACATTTTGCAAAGTGCAGCTCATGGTTTTAGCCTCAGCAATTACATGTCTTCATTCCAGTGAGGGAGCAGGAAAGCTATTGCTAACTATTACCTGAAACTAAATGCAATGGAATCCTTAGATTGTGAATTTTTTTATAGAATAACTTCACTATAAAATCAGGTTCACTGTACCTGGAACTGCCATGTATCTAGTAGGTCACTGAAAAAAATTGGAACTTCATCCTAATCAGAGTTACACAGTTTTCGTGTTCTTTAGAGGGAAATGATTCAGGTTGGACCTCCCTGGTCCGGCACCCTCAGAACCTGACTAGTCCCAGATGAGGGATTTTTGCCAGACCAGGGGAAGTCATTTTTAGACCCCTGCCACCGGCCCCCTTGGCTCAGCTGCTGGCTTCCCAGCCAGCTCCCCACCTTCTCCTGGCCCCGCTGCCCTGCTGGGTAGCCATCGCTGTCATGGACAGCCTAGCACTAGGTCTCCAAGCAGCCACGTGTGCCTCGCTGGGACTCCGTGAGCAGTCCTGTGCGCCATGCACTGGGGCTCACTGGACAGCCACATATGCGCCGGGGCTCCAAGCTCTGCTGGGCAGCCCTACTGCCATGCGCTGGGCTGCTCTGCCATCAGTTCCCTGTGGGCAGCCCCCGCCGCCCCATCCGGAGGGATCCCTCCACCCTCCACTGAGACTCTGTGGCCCTGCAAGATCCATGCCAGATCATGGATGTTGCTGGACCAGAGAATTCTGGTTCAAAGCATTTCAGCCTGTGGTGTTAAATGTGGTAAACAAAAGAATTTTGTATAAATGTTTCTACATTAAGTTTAGGGGATAAATGAACACATTGCAAGAAGGAGAATTAAGCCTTGCATCCAAAGGTTCTAATTTGGTCATACTTTTTAACCTATTGGTTTACTTCATTTGGAGCAGATAATATTTTTAGATTCTTATTTTCATCTACAAGGATCAGGGTGATTCATTGAACAATGCATCAGACACCCCCATGCCTTCTAAAGTGAAAAAGCCACTGCTGGGAGGAGGAGGGTTCACATAGAGAAGCTGAACATTAAAGGCCCAGTTTTGTGTTCTATTATGCAGGTGCAACACTCACGGATCGCAACACAGCCCAGAATTGGTTCTAATTTTCTTTTTATTCAATGTACTACAGATTTGGAAATCTGGGGACCTGGTTTCTGTTCCCAGCGCTGCCACTGACTGCCTGTGTGATCTTAATCAAGCTACATAATCTTTCTCTACATCAATTTCCCCATTTGTAAAATGCAAATAAAGATACTTGCAGTGGATGAAAAGCACTGAACTATTTTTTTAAATGTGTGTTATATACAGCAAGTGGATGGACACACTTCAGGAAGCATTCCTCTCAAATCGGCAAGGTGAGCCCCTTATAAGGGTGTGTGATGGGTTGTTGTAGAACCATCATTGGCACTGACACAGTTTAAGAGTATCTGGAGAGCTCAGTTAAGGCACCTGGTGGCAATTATAGGCCATCTCAGGTTCAGATTAAGTATGAGATATCAGCTGAGAAGAGCAGGTAATTAAACCCAGGGGGTGGGGGTTCTCTTGAATAGGCAACTCTGTGAAAAGTCCAGAAGAGAGAGACAAAAGCAACCAGTATTAGGCCTGGATGAAAGGGCCTGTAGGTGAACCCCGGGAGGTACTCAACAAGGAACAGCACAGGGGAGAAGAGGCATGAAAATTCAAGCCTGAGGAGGGCTCCAAAGAAGTAAGTTTATATTTGTATTTGACATTTGGGGGGAGGGGAGGATACCAGTGGGATTCTGGTAAACCCCTACTATCAAAGATGGTTCAACTCTGAGAAAGCATGGAGCCTGGGAAGAATACAGGTGCATGGTGGCCCCAGGAAGGGACTGACGGAAAAGCCTGTAGGAGGTTTTGGTGGGGAGATCTTGTCTGCTCAGTACAGGGTCTTTGGTTCAGAACCCAGCTATGTGGAAGGGACTGGGTACCTCTGGAGGCCATTGAGAAAGGTAGCGTGAAGACTCCAGAGAATAGGGGTGGAAGCATTGGTGAGTCTAGATTTGGATCAAAGACTTGGCATGAGGCTGTTAGAAGTCTGTTGGTTGAGCATAGTAATCCCAGACATGGCTGAGTCACAAGAAGAAGCAGATCATTGTTGGGGTGAAAGTAGCTGTTGCTAGATGGGAGCCTGTTATGCCATACCTAGCCATGAAGGGACACGCACAGGCTAAGCCCATTCCTCAAGGGAGACAGAGGAAGCCCCTGAGTTGGCTTTTAATAACCAGAGCATCAAGGAACAATTTTAATTATTACAAAAATGCTAAACACAGAAGCTATTTCATAAATGATCATCACACGTTCTGTAGTAAAAAAACACACTTATGCAAATGGAAGGGTAGAAATTGGTCCAAAAATAGGCAGAGGATATAGTCTATTATAACACAAATGGTCATTTCCATGAGTTTGGGAGCTGTCCTGTCATTCAAATGAAATAACTACTAGAGACTTGACCAACAAGCACGTTGCTGAGACCCACTGCCCCATGGATCTGATCCTGTGTTGCTTACTCAGATAGACACCCTCTCTTCCCCCCCCCCCCCCC